TGGTCTTTGTACAGCCATCTAGGCGGGGGCCTTCATCAGTCTCTGTCATTTGGGACTTCAAACAGGAGGGTGTCGGTTCAGCGCGCGCTTCTAGTTTGTGTACGCCTGAAGTCCCAGTATGCAGCGGACCTCTATCTGCCCTGGCCTATAGTCAGGGCCTATTCCGCTATTTGCCTGTTTGGCCTGTGGGACCAGGCCGTGGCCTCACCCCACAGGTCGTGTGCTGTTTCAGTCCAGTCCAGTCCTGCCCGGTACCACTATCGGTACCAGTCCAGTCCAGCCCAGGCCAGTCAGTCCGCTGGGGTATACTCCAACTGCAGTCTGTATTCTGATTCCTTTTGCATTTGCACACTTTGGAGTACGTGCGTGTTGAGTCTGCGTCGGAGTTGCATTGTCCCTTCCAGCTCCATCTCCATCTCCTACTTCCTCAACCCTCCGTGTTGATCCTGACGGACCACCATCTCGGCGGGTCCGTCACACTGGTATCAGAGCGGGAACGGTCCCCGCTCCAACCCGCCCTCCCTCCCGTAACAAAGGAAAATTGTTGTAATCCCGATAGCGGGATTTAGCGGGATTTTCAGGGCGGAAACGACGAGCAGAAACGACGAAAAACAGCGAGAAAAAAAAAGCAGCAGCATGGAGAGGCGTTCACGTGGCAAAAAAGAAGATTGTCGGCACGACACGCACGCGCGCCACGTGCCCATGCTGCCCCGCCCCACCCCGCTCCCGAATTATATATCATCAAGATCCGGGATGCTGCAACTGCCAGGGTTTGAACCTGGCAAGTTGCCACTCATGTGCGTGCATGGCCAGTGTCGTAACACACTGGCCAAAGCCACAATCTAAGCTGATACCGTGGCTCGCTGATGTTGAAGTGCCACGTAAGCTATTTACCCCCCCCGTCGGCGAGCGGCGAGCAGCCTGCGGCACGACAGCTATTTGCCCCCCCCCGCCCCTTAAAGAGACCCCAACACAAGCGGTCTTTGTACAACCATCTAGGCGGGGGCCTTCATCAGTCTCTGTCGTTTGGGACTTCAAACACAAGGGTGTTTGTTCAGCGCGCGCTTCTAGTCTGTGAACGCCTGAAGTCCCAGTATGCAGCGGGCCTCTATCTGCCCTGGCCTACAGCTAGGGCCTATTCGGCTATTTCCTGTTCGGCCTGTGGGACCAGGCCGTGGCCTGACCCCACAGGCCGTGTGCTGTTTCAGTCCAATCCAGTCCTGCTCGGTACCACTGTTGGTACCAGTCCAGTCCAGTCCAGTCAGTCCGCTAGGGTATACCCCAGCTGCAGTTTGTATTCTGATTCATTCTGCATTTGCAAACTTTGGAGTACGTGCGTGTTGAGTCTGCGTCGGAACTGCGTTGTCCTTTTTCAGCTCCATCTCCATCTCCTCCTTCCTCAACCTTTCGTGTTGATCCTGACGGACCGCCATCCCGACAGGTCCGTCACACTGGTATCAGAGCAGGAACGGTCCCCACTCCAACCCGCCCTCCCTCCCGTAACAGAGGGAAATTGCTGTAATCCCGATAGCGGGATTTAGCGAGATTTAGCGGGATTTTCAGGGTGGAAACAATGAGCAGAAACGACGAAAAACAGCGAGAAAAAAAAAAACAGCAGCGTGGAGAGGCGGACATGTGGCAAAAAATGAGACTGTCGGCACAACGCGGACGCGCMCCACGTGCCCACGCTGCCCCGCCCCGCCCCGCCCCCGAATTATATATCATCAAGATCCGGGATGCTGCTGCTGTCAGGGTTTGAACCTGACCAACTGTCACTCATGTGCGTGCGTGACCAGTGCCTTAACACACTGGCCAAAGCCACAATCTAAGTTGATACTGTGGCTCGCTGCTGTTGAAGAAGTGCCACGACAACTATTTACACCCCCCGGCCCCCCCATTGGCGAGCGGCGAGCAGCTTACGGCACGACAACTATTTGCTCCCCCCCCGTGGTCGTGGGTGTTGGCGCCTGCGCACGTGGCTGGTATCTGGTGCCTATCTGCAGTGCCACGTGGCAGCTTGCTGTGGATCTTGAAGACCCCCCTGGCTAGGGGGCTGCACTACAGTGACATCTGGGTGGCTCATCAAGATCTAAGCCCACCCCAGATTTTTCCAATTGCAGTGACATCAGGCCAGCAACATCTTGAACGCCAAGATCCTATGGATCTCGGTAGTGCTCTGCTCTTGGCCACCCAAGAGCTTGGTATCACCATCCTACCCACTAACCTATTCTCCCCCAACCCCTTTTTTCTCCCCCCCCATCATCTAATCATCCTTTCTAACCCTACCACTACTCCCTCCTCCTACCTCCCTCTTCACTCATCTTCCACAACCTTTTTTCTCTCCTCTCCTCCCCACTTACCATCTTCTACAAATCTCATCTACTCCTCTCCACCTTTTCCATATCCTTCTCTCCCATTCTACCACCCTCCTCTCCCTCTTCCCCCCCCAACTACGACCCCATAATCTCCCCCATCTCCCACTTCACTCTTTCTCTCTCTCTCACCTATTTCTCTCTTTCTTCATCACTCTTCCATCCCCTTGCCCCCCAAACTTCGAATTTTTCTGTTTTTCTTTTTTTGTCTTTCTCATTGATTTAATAATTCGAATTATCTTATTCCCCACCTTCTTTTCTCATTTTCTGATTTATTTTATTTTATTTTTTATTTATTTTGAAAATTCGAATTTCTTTGCGGCACCCTCAAATTTGATTAGGACTTAGTCATTTTTGCCTTCGGCACACATTCTGACCCCGTGTGGGTAACGAAATGCTGCCGAAATTTTCTGTTTTTTTTTTCATACTCAGTATTTTTCAGCACATTTTGACCCCTTGGGGGTAGCGAAGAGCTAGCAAAATCTTCTCATTTTACTTAGCCTTTCTTTTTGACGGCACACTTCGACCCCATGGGGGTAACGAAATGTTGCCAATTTTTTTTTAAAATCCAACACTTATTTTCTCTTCACCTCCTCATCTACTTATTTATTTATTTATTTTTCTGAAAATTATAATTTGCGGCATTGTAAAACTTAGTGTGCTTCTCTTAGTCTCTCCTTCCTCTTTGCACCTTTGTGACCCCATTGGGGTAGGAAAATGCTGCCAAAAATTCCAAAAAAATGAATATTATTTCTCTTCTCACCTTTTGCTTATTTCTTTCTTTCTTTATTATTATTATTATTATTATTATTATTATTTTATCTCGAAATTTCACTGTTTATTTTATTTTCTCTCCCCCTTCCCTCCATGGTTACTATCTTCTTTTCTTGATTAGGTGGCTGCTACCCTACCCTAACCACCCAAACCCCGATTAGGGTTTTCTTAGGGTTTTTCTAGGGTTTTTCTAGGGTTTAGGGTTCTCCTAACCCCCCTCCTCTTCCGCTTCCTTTCGCCGGGCACCCTAGACCCGAACGGCTCCTCTCCCTTCGAGCGGATTCGCACCACCATCTCACGCGCGACCCGCTGGTCACGGAGTGAGCCGACTCACAATTACCGACTTCGCTCCGGCAGTCCACTCCCTCTCACCGGTGGTCCCCTATCCCCATGCCATAACCCATCTCCTTCCCCACCTTTTTCTCCACCTCCCGCCATGTCTACCCCCATGCATCCACTACCCACGGACGGGGCTAGAGCTGAGGAGATCGTCGCGGCGCCCTCCGTTTCTTAGGGGCGCACCCAATCGACGGTCCAGGGTCAACACTTTGTGGACCCCACGGACCTTCGCGCTATTCTTGCGTCCCTCCTTGCACCTCTGGAAGCGCGCCTCGATGCGCTTGCACCCTTGGAGAGGCAAGTCAATGCGCTCGCCCTTCAAGTTCACTGCCTCAAGGGTTCTCCTTATCGCTCTCCCCACCGCTCTCAAACCTCATTCCCTATCGACTCAGAGTCCGGCTCTCCACGACTCCAGAGACGGAGACGTGGTGGTTCGTCCTCCTCCACGGGCCAGGTCCAACACTTCCCCTCCCAGTGGTGAGTGTTACTGCCGCCTAGACCATTTCGTCTGTTGTGGCATATTCATTGGCCCCCACCGCTCCCTCCGCCCCGGTCGCTTCGGCCACTTCCTCATGTGTTGTCGCCCAGATACCGGTATCTGGCCAGGGAGTTTCATCTACCCACCCCGGTGCTGTTCCCCAGCTTCCTGCACCGGTCGCAACACTACGGCCCGGAGTTCTTCCTCCTCCCGCTAGGGTACTCTCTCCGCCTCCTCCACCTCCGACCCCGCGCACCCAGTGGGTGGCTACCCTACAGGCCACTGTGGCGTAACTCCAGTTGGAGATTCTCTCCCTGATACAGCCTCACCCTGCACAGGGTGCTCACCCTTCTTCTTCTTATATCGCCCCTCCCACCTCTGTCTTGCCGGCTCGTTTCCCTCAACCGGCTCCACCCCCTCTACCCTCCTATCTCGCTACTCCATCACAGTTGGTTGCAGTCGTTGCCTCCACGTCTGTTGGACCTTCCACCAACAGCCCCGACCCACAGCCTACCACCACTTTTACCTCTGCACCGACCTTGACATTTGCCGCTGCAGTGCAGGCCCATCAACCTCTCTCCCCTCGCCGTCAGCATAGCAGTCTCACCCTTGTGCGTCTGTCGGACATACCCGACTACGATGGTACAATGCGTATGTCGCACTGGTTGCAGGCTGCCACACGTGCACTGACACTGACTAACACTGGTCAGGAGTTGTGGTGTTCCTCGCTCGCAACTAAATTGCGAGGCAGCGAGTTCTCCACATGGGAGAACTATTATTCACATCGTACTCGCTCTGGTGAGGCTCCTACTCTCACGGATTTGACCGCCTTCCTCGATGACCGCTACGACACTCTCCACGATGCAACCGACGCCCTAGATTGGGTCACCCAAATGCAGTGGCGCGGGTCCCCCGCACCACCCGATCTTGAGCGTCACATTAGAGTGTTTCAAGACGCCCGCCTCATTTGCGATGAGGCACTCCTACCTGAGGTCCTTTTGACCAACAGGTTCGTAGTCAGTCTCACGACTGACTACCGCATCGAGCTCTGGTGACAGAGCTTCGCCTCCTCAGAGCAGGCCTACGAGGCTGCTCGACAGTACCAGAAGATGCGGAATCGCTTCTCCGACACCCCATCTTCTTCGCGATCCACCGTCGCCGCCACCCAGCCACGTGGTGCTACTAGCGGTCGATCCTCCTTCATCGACTGCTTTCGCCGACCAGCTTGACCTTGAGCGCCATCCTCTCGGCGCTACAATTCTAAGGAGTACGGCGAGGACGCCTCGGCTGAGCTTGACGCTACCCTTGGGGATGCCCCCGAGGATATCGAGCTCCGAGATGTCATCCCGTATCACTTGGATGACGACATTGTCCTGGTGGCCGAGCGCCTGCAGATGGCCATGTCCGCCATGGGTTGTGCGTGCAGTTGGGTTGCACAGGTTGGCGCCCTCACGTTCACGATCCTCAGATAGACCTCCCACATGGTTTTGTCCTCCTTGCGGAGCTCTATCCCCTGAGGAGCGCGCCGCCCTCGAGGCCCGTCGCGGCTGCCTTCGTTGCCGCCAGAATGGACACACCTCCTCACGGTGTCCATACCATGCCGCCCTCGATCGACACTATGCTGACATCTCTCGTCAGCACCGCTCTCAGTTTTCCTTTGGCCCCGCCTCGCCAGCGTCACCCAGCTAGCCACGGTGCAGTGTACTGCTGAGGCCTTGCACGTAGCCGGCTTCCCGACCACCGAGTCGGGTTTTGCCCCCTTGGCTACCCGACCAAAGGATCCTCAGGACATGACAGACGCAGTTCCCTCAGTCCCACCACCTGTCGAGGTACCGTCTACCTCACAGCAGACCGCCGCATCGAGTCCTTCCTCTCTGAGGCTCCCGACGCGTCGCGACGTTCGCACAGCTCGTTGTAAACATCCTGCGTCGTCTTCTCGCTATGCTCTCTGACCCTGATCGCACCCTCCCCATCATTCCTATTCGCCTGTGGACATTTATGAGGGTGTATCGCACTTTATGGGACTCCGACTCGCAGGGAGACTTCGTTCACCCTCGCGTGGTTGAGGAAGCTCGCCTAGCTACCTCCGAGTCTCGCTCTCCTATCTCCGTTACCCTCGGAGATAACAAGATGCAGCGCTTCTTCGATCAGACAGTCCCTGACCTCCACTTCTCCCTCACCCTCTAGCCATAGGATAGTACCCAGGCCGAATGGGCGACCAAGACCCTCGTTCTCAAATTGAAGTGTGGTCAGACCCATCGAGTCCCCTTCATTGGAACCACGGGCGACACCCCACCCGACCTACCTCCTAGGATCCTTGTTCCTCTGCGTCTCACCCAGACATCGTCTTCACTTCTCCTCGTCAGTTTGCTCACTTCATATGATAGGAGGATGTCACGTTCTACTCAGTAAACGTCATGGATCTTCTTCGCTACGATCCACTTTGCCCCGAGGTTGAGCTTATCTCATTGGAGCCTGATCCCCTTCACCCTTCCTCCATCTTCGCGGCTCCCATCTCCACATCCACCCGTTAGCCTGCGGATACCCCTTCGACGTCCCAGGTCCCTGTACCGTCGACTGTCGAGTCCACTCATATTCTCGTGCTGACGTAGACGCTAAGGAACTGATGCGGTTCACGACCGACTTAGAGCCCTCTGTTCCCGATTTGATTCGAGAGTACCACGATGTTTTTCCCCCGTATTTCTCATACAGTGAGATTCCTCCCATGCGAGGTGTTAAGCATTCTATCCAGCTCGTGCCTGACTATCGTACCTCCACGTTCTAGCGGGAGATTCAGTCGCTCCTGGCACATTCGGTGAGCCAAGCGAAAGGTTGCGTGGTGGAAACGAGCATGGACGACGGGCGTATATTTGTGTGTTTTAGCTGGGGAGTCATTCAATTTTTGCACAACTTCTCGGAGGAGCAGCGTAAGACAAGAGGCGGAACAGGGGACATACCTGTTGAATGGTGCTTGGCTCATCCGGGCGATGGAATAGCGAGAGGTCAGCCTCGCGGTTGAAAGCTTACCTGTGGGCGGTGCATGTAGCAGAAGGGTCATCCAACCCTGTTCGCTTGTTTGTGGAAGTAGCCTCTGCCTGTTGCTATGCAACTGCGATTGGAGAGGCACACGTATCTCCTAATCTTCGTGGAAGATTCATTTGATTTTGCCGAGCTAATTGGAGGGGCAACAACAGCGTCATTGTGTGACACTGCATCCTGGACCTGTTGCTACTGACCAACGGCCTGTTGTACCCCTGCCTCTAGCATCGAACTGTTGGTGTATCTACTGCTGCATATGCCTTGGTTACTAGGGCATCGTAGAGGAGCTATAAGGGCGGCTTTGAAGGGTACCGTTGTTAAGGAGAGGTTTGAAGTAAGACTGTACTTCTGTTGGTTGCCTGCTGGCTCGGATGCTACTCGGTCCGGTGCCCGATGTTGCTGATTGTGCGTTGCCGAGCGTCTACTGAGCTTGCTGCAGCATAGCGCTGCGCTTCTTGACGGGAGTTGCTAGCCGCTGGGTTTTTACTGTGCGGCACTGCAGCTGCTGTTGTTGGGAACAACCTGCTGTGGCGACGGCTCGCGACTGCTGCACGCTGCAACATTGTGCCCAACACGTTAAGCAAGCTGCAACAGACCAATCACGAAAGTGCAGACTGACGTGTGGCTGGTGCACCTTGGATTGCGAGTTCGACAGGGCGCCATGATAGTGCTTGTGAAAGGGGTTATTGTTGCAGACTAGGAGATTGTCAGAGGGGTGGCTTCAACAATTTGACTCAGAGTTTGACCAAGTCGCTGAGCGTTTGGCTATCATTGCGGAACCCTCAGGCGAGTGAAGGTATCAAGGCCCTCTCCTGGGAGCTGAGTTGTCCCCCTCTTGTATCTCGAGAGTCTCAAACCCCTTATCCTCTGCCCTTCTTACTCTAAGAGTCTAAGTCTAGTCCTGATTTGAGAGAAAGGCGGCAGGTGGGATTGCAACCCGTAGGACCGCAGCAAGACTCTGTAGGGAGTCGTCCCACCAATTGCGAGAGCTCTGCTGGAACTCAGGAGGAGTTATGGAGGCAGGAAATTAAAAGGTAACCACCCATCTCCCTCTATATACCCAGTTATAACCCTCATCTGTACGTCTCACTATGTTTGACTGAGTGCGTTGCATGTATTCTATATTAATTCTGGGTTTGACTTCAGGATACAAACCAGGCTTAAATAAAGGAATATGTGCAGAATTTCAGTTTCAGTTTTGTTGTTTGACTAAAAGCAGATTGTAAAAAGGGAATGCATCTGGGGGGAAACTGGGAGGAAGGCAGTATTGCTTTAAAGTTTGACTGGGTCATTAAGGTTTGGAGGTCCCCATAAGTTTGGGGAGACCCAGTGCTGTGTTTATTTTGGATTGCTTGGAGCATCAGGCCATTCCATAAGTTTGGGTGGTCTGATTGCTTTGGAGGCAGGGAAGTCCCCATAAGTTTGAGGAGACCCAGTGCTATGAAATTGCTTTGAGAATCAGACCATTCTGTAAGTTTAGGTCGTCTGGTTGCTCTGACTTGTGAGGGCTAATTGTGCTTGACTTTTTCAGGGGCCAAGTGCATTCTGTAAGCTCAGGTGCCTTGGTTGCCTTGTTTATTTTGGGGTTTTCTTTGTTTGTTTGGTTCTGAATGAGGAGGTCTGATCCATTCTATAAGTTTAGGTGGCTCAGCCTCTTCCTGCTTTTATTCTGCGGGGGTAAATTAGACAGAGGTCTGACCATTCTATAAGTTTAGGTGGTCTTGCCCAATGCCTCGCACAAGTTGAATCAAAGAGGAACGAATTAGGCAAAGAGTCAGACTGTTTTGTAAGTTCAGGTGGTCTGACCCAATGCCTCGCACATGCTGGAACCCAAAGGTTATAAATTGGCTATATTTTATTACTAGCTTATTTAAGAACAGGTTAGTTAGACTATTCTATAAGTTTAGGTGGTCTGACTATAGCTTATCACTATCTTAAAACAGTATAACTAAGAGTATAATTGAGGGTAACTTGGACCGACTGAGCATTGTTTCTAAGACGAATGACCCAGTCCTACGCCTGCTTTGAAGATTAACTTCAGAGAGATATATACAACCTGGCTATTAAACAAGTTCAGAGCGACTAGAATGGCCTAGTCATATGCCCAAAAAAGAGAGAAGTAGTTGTGCCATTTGTTCTGTGTATACTCAATGACTAAGTTAGGCATGTCCCATAAGTTTGGGTGGCCAGACTTTACGCCTTATGTAAGCTGGGTATAAAGGGTTAAATCATTGAAAGACTATAAACTATTGTCTGTTAAGTTGACTTGGGGATGGTGAGAGTACTTACCTTTGTGGTTTGACCTGCATGTGACTGAGTGAGACCATTACTTAGTTTGAGTTTCAGTTTGATAGGTAGTTGCTTTAGTTGTTGGCCACGTGTTAGAGCCATATAAGTTAGGTTCAATTCCTGCATTTTTTGAGCTAAGTTTATTTTACTTAGATCAAATTCTGCATTTTCTGGGATCTTTTATTATACTTGGTCTTGTATAAATCTTGGTAAGTCACTTTCTCTACGGGAAGCGCTGCCGAAATTTCTATAAAACCAAGGAGTTAGTCAGATTTTGACTTTTCAAAGTTCAGTTCGTCTGACTTTTATATACGACTTAGTAAAAATATGAAAAATCCCCTTTTCTAAAATGAGTGTTGCCAATTTTTTTTCTAAATCAGAGAGTTAGACAAAATTGGACCTTGAAAAGTTAAAATTCTGAACTTAACTTTGTGTAAATCTTGGACTAGCACTTTCCCTACGGGAAGCACTGCCAAAATTTATGCAAATCTAAGAAGTTAGTCAAATTTTGGCTTTCCAAAAGTTCAATTTGTCTAAATTTTATATACAACTTAGTAAAAATCTGAAAAGTTTCCTTTTCTAAAGGGAGTGCTGTCTAAATTTTTGCTAATTCAGGGAGTTAGACAAAATATTAACCTGGAAAGTCAAAGACTATTTCTGTTCTCATATTCGAGCTGATATAAATTTTGAAAAGACACTTTTCCTACGGGAAGCGCTGCCGAAATTTTCTTAGTTTAGAGGAGTTATATTATATTTTGACAGGTGATAATTCTGAAAAATCCACTCTGTATAAATATGATTCTGTCAAGGTCTACCTTTCTTTTGGCACCTGCTTAGAGGTAGGCTTAGGCTTAGTTAATGAGGACGATTTGAGTGAGATCGTGACATGGCAACTATTTTCCCATGACTTATAAATTTAGGCTGGGGAATTGACCTGTCATGTGCTACAGGTCCTCCTGATCGATTGGTTCAAAATTTGGACTAGATTCAGCTTGATCCTATAATGATCACCTTCTGTTATCACTGATAACAAGTCGGTTGCCGATTCGTTGGTTTATGACTCAACCCCAATTCATCCTCAATACTCAACCTAAAAAGGCTTTAGCCCTGATGATTTTTATTGTTTTATTAATATTTCACCCGGACTTTTATTGAATGGTCATTTAACAAAGGTACAGGGTATTTAATTATGATTGGTTGGACAGGAGGCTCGCTTGCATGGC